ACATAGTGCCCTGTTTTTGACTGAGTTGACAGCTTTGGAGGTGCTCATAGACAGTCTAGAGAGCGATTGGTTCCGTTCAGTGTTCACACTTCGAATTCTTCCAGCCAACTTTCAGAGCCACTATCCTCTGTGATGCAATGCAGTCGATTCAGACAGGTGTGAGTAAATTCTTGCCTGCTTAAGACAGAAGGCTAAGTCCGCGGAAGTCTTCATTCGTCTGCCGACTTTGCTTCCATTTCCCCTACGTCCTTGACATCTTTCAGAACGCCAGTGTTCGTTCTCAACCCGCGAACAGAGTTGCGGAAGAAAAGGCATCCTTCACAGTAGTTTCATGCTCTAGTTACTCAATGGTTGTCCGCAGCTCCCGTGTCAGGACGCGTCCAGACATGAAAAGTACATGTGCGCGACCCAAAGGTCAACATCGCTCACCACAGGCTCTCGAAAGCAGGTGCGTGGATGGCTTAACAGCATGCGACCAGCTGAGCGGATGTGACGTGGTGTGATCTCGACACCTGGACAGAGACGAACAAGGCGAGTGGCCAAATTTGATCATTCAGCCACAGGCGTTTCGGCATGATTGCCCTTTTGGTGTGCATGTGACATGGTTATATATCGGCCATGCCACGAATGTCTCACCATTTCGCACAGTTTGACAAGCGTTCAGTTTTATCGCGCTTTCGCCCCGGTTGACGAGAACCTGGTATTCTGAGGTATCATTCATCTAACAGTCAGCTTTGCGCCTCATGTTTATGGTCAAACCCACATCTCTGTGATAGGCAGTGAAACCGTCGATTAGGTGTTCATATTCACAACGTGCTTACCATTGAAAATTTCAATACTGCATTTATCGTCCACAAATTTACATAGTTAGATTTAAAGGAGTCTCAGGATTCCGCATGCCTGCTGACCTTAGCGTTGAAATCACCTAACGGGGAAGCGTGGTCAACCGGTTCAGCTGTAACACCCTTCCGGTGCCTAGCTGCCGTGCCAGCCGAAGAAAACACGCCAGCTGGGAGTCGAGTGGCAGAGGTCGGGTTCGAACCACGTATGTTCCCATTAGTAAATTCGCGCCCTAACCACTTCAGGCATCTCGTCGCAATCTGGTCAACTGGAGCTGAAGTCTAGTCAGCTCTCAGAAATGGTCAAAGACGCAACGACAAACCCTATTCTCAAACTATTAATAAAATTCTTCCAAATGGAGAAGGAAGGTCCTTGGGTCGAACCCCACCTCTGCATCTCGACTGCTCCTGTCTGGGTTTAGGCAAACTGGCAGCATTTCTTTCGGGTTGCATGACAGCTAGGCACCGAAGGGCTGATCGAATATTATTACTAAAGGGGGACGGATAGCTTACCATAGAATGTCAGGGGGCAGCCCGTTTCCAATAACTAGGAATGGTTAGTACAAGTAACAAATAGTTTGTTAAAAAGCTCACTCAAGTGTTTACTTCTCTTTTTTCCCCACAGAAATAGGCATTTGTAGTCGTCACAGAAGCGTTTTGTGACCAGTATATTATTATTTTTAACCGAAATAATTTGCGGTTGTGCACCATCAGGTACACGGTGACAAGGCAGTGAACAAACTCATCATCGGCAACGGTGGTCTTTGGACTAACGATGTCCCGCTACAGAATGACAGTGAGCCGCCATCAACTGCAAGAAGACCATCAGGTTCGGTGGAAGTACCGAAGAATGCGACTTCGGCGCCTGCTGAAATCTGGCGTGTCTTGTTGTCCTTGGTCTTTTGTACTCTCAGGTTCACCACTCGTCCACTTACGTGAAAGTTCAGTCATAAAAACACCGATGCATGCGTTGTATGGAGCCTAGGAACAACGTTTAAAGTGCCGGATTGGGAGAGAATAGCAATGTGATGAGGATCGCAGAGGGGAATCCTTCTGCAGAGTTCTGAAGACATCAGCAAGAAGAGATGCTGTCGCATAGAACGGGGGCGTAACCAGATTATAATGTCAATACAACTGTGGTGGGTTTACTTTCAGTAGTGTCGCTGGTGCAGCGGCGAACGCGTGTACGGTAAAAGTACCCATATTTTCAGGTGAGTTTGCGGTGTGAAAAGAATTTAGCGACTGTTTTTTTTTGTAAAAAAACAATACGAGGACAGTAACCATGACAAAAGTACTGTTAAACTGCACAAGATGGACCCGTGGCTGCAGTTTGACTATGAAACATCGCATGAAAAGTGCAGCACTGTTATAATTTTGCATATGACGAGACTTGCTTTCTACAAGATAATTAGATCAAACGTCAGATATGTGAGCTTCTGTGGTATTTGTACAGTGAAAAAAGCCTCCTAACCGAGATTTACAGCCTGTAACGTTCGCACAGCAACTGCCCGTTATTTTGCAGTAATCCTCTTCTAGTAACGACATCCGCGGGATCGAAAAATCGTTTCCCCGTACAATGAAATGCTTTCTGAAGCATGTTTCACCCCCCTGACAACGAGTTGACCGGATCTAAATTTACCTACATATACTATCGGTTCCCTGTTAATCAAGCAATCATTCAATCAATTAAACAAACGAACAATCAGTGGAACAGCCAGCCAGCTAGTCAGTCAGTCAATCAATCAATTTATCACTATCGTAGCCGATCAAAGTGCCACGAAGAGAATCAAGTGGGAACATTCTCATTTATAAGTAGCATATAGCACCGGGGAGACGGCAAAGTTCAAGTAGATCTTAAGGTTGACGGAAACTCGGGGACTGCGCTTACCTGATGAGCCTCAAGAAGGGCGAAACCGGTCGTGGGCTTTTGAAGAGTTTTCAGCGACCTTGTGAGTAGTTTCCTTTAGGTAAAGTTCCCCCTTCAAACTTTTTAAATTTTCCTTCAAACTAAACTGGTGGACCAATGGGAACGTGCGAAGTACGGCATTTCATCGTCAAATTGGGCAGATGGCATCAAAAGTATACCACCGCTATAGATGTAAGACACTACTCATAAGGTTGCTGAAAACACCTCGGCAACCCATGACCGGTTTCTTTCTTCTTGGGGCTGAGTCACCAGGTAGGCGCAATCCACGAGTTCCCGTCAATCCTACGTTCTAATTGAACCCAAATTAATGGGAATTCAGAGACTGCGCTCACCTAATGAGCCAGCTCCATGGACGAAACCGGCCGTGGGCTGCCGGATAGGTTTTACCAACTTCATGTATCGCGATAGCTCGAATATCGTACCAAGTGAACCATCAGGCGACCAGGTGCAGCACATTCAGTTGCTTAAGAACATGGTAAACGAGAGATTCAGCTCGGTTCCAGGTGAATTTCCCGAAAAAACCTGATTGGTCTGCAAGTGGATATCACGGTTAGTTCATACTGTGCGGTTCGACTGCTCAGCATCGCTCACTCAGCTATGGCAACTTCGACCAGTGAACAGAGATCAGACTGCAAATGATTATCTGTCAGAAGGAGTCGAACAAACTAAAAATCACGCTAGATTATCATGATTTTGCGGTTCTCCAAGAGAGTGTGACCACTAACAAGCTCAGGACTGCATGTGGATCGACGTCCGTTATGTCCAAAACAAACTGGTGTGACATCTGAACTTGAGCTGGTCATTGTGAAAAAATCCGGTCCCACAAACTTGTCTGACCTTGACGCCACCCATGTGACTCCACGATCGATCGAACTGTGTACGTTCTTTCTTCAAAGAGTACGAGGTCTTCATTTTCATATGAAATTTATACGTGAGTTATGGTATCACACAGATTTGTGATGCAGTGACAAAGAGGATCAGTAACAGGAAACAAGCATTCATAAAGAAGACTACTCACAAGGTTGCTGAAAACTCTTCAAAAGCCCACGACCGGTTTCGCCCCACTTGAGGCTCATCAGGTAGGCGCAGTCCCCGAGTTTCCGTCAACCTTATGATCTACTTGAACCCATAAAAGGAACTTGCAAGTGAGTGTATTTCTCGAAGACAGTCCAATTTGTGTTCAAGTAGAACGTAAGGTTGACGGAAACTCGGGAACTGCGCCTATCTGATGAGCCCTAAGAAGGGCAAACCCGGTCGTGGGCTGTCGAAGAGTTTCCAGAAAACTTGTGAGTAGTTTACTCCATGAAAATATACTGCGATATCTCGAATATCGTGCCAAATGAAACATGAGGCGACTTGTGTGCACCACATTCAGTTGTAGAATATCATAAACGAGAGATTCAGTTGAGTCTCTCGTGAAAACCAAAAGAAAACAAACTTTCTTCATTAACTTTGTTCTCCTCACGTCTACTGGATCCGGTCGAACTAGATCAGATGTGGACGACTTGTCCAAGCCCTGTTCGCTGCTGAGGGAAGCCCATCTCCGAGCAGTCAGTTGAATACTGTCAACCAAATGTGCCTGAGTCAAAATGTCCCGACATCCATGCAACCAATAAAGCGAGGGAAAAGCAGACTCACTTTTGGATATCTGTCTCGAATGATGACCCACAAGTCCGATTGTTTCACGACAACCTTGGGATCTTTCATTGCCTCCATTAGGTGGCCACCAAACCAACGTTTGGCCATCATTGTTGATGAAACAGAATTTTTCGCTTTGCCCGCGATACGGGGTCGTTTTGACGGAGGATTGGAAGGAACTGACTTCACGTCTGATTTGGATGGTTTCTGATCGTCTGGTTTGTGCGACAAGGGCCGCATCTGAAATGAGATTCGTAAATAAAGCTGTCAGGTTAGTTGGCAAAAAATGAGCCGCACGATATCAGGAGGGCCGGGGATGGAAAGCTGGAACTCAGGTAGAGAGCATTCCGGTAACGGGATTCAACATACGCTAGTAAACTGTACTAATCTCAAAAGCTTAGAAGACCGGATGGGAGTGCTTTCCGCTCGTCGGTGACTCTCGACCGATTGAGGAAAACCAAATGGTACGGATTAGAAGCTTGAGATGAATAACCAATGTAGGGAAGCCCATCTCCGAGCAGTCAGTTGAATACTGTCAACCAAATGTGCCTGAGTCAAAATGTCCCGACAGCTATGCGAGGAAAAAGCAGACTCACTTTTGGATATCTGTCTCGAATGATGACCCACAAGTCCGATTGTTTCACGACAACCTTGGGATCTTTCATTGCCTCCATTAGGTGGCCACCAAACCAACGTTTGGCCATCATTGTTGATGAAACAGAATTTTTCGCTTTGCCCGCGATACGGGGTCGTTTTGACGGAGGATTGGAAGGAACTGACTTCACGTCTGATTTGGATGGTTTCTGATCGTCTGGTTTGTGCGACAAGGGCCGCATCTGAAATGAGATTCGTAAATAAAGCTGTCAGGTTATTTGGCAAAAAATGAGCCGCACGATATCAGGAGGGCCGGGGATGGAAAGCTGGAACTCAGGTAGAGAGCATTCCGGTAACGGGATTCAACATACGCTAGTAAACTGTACTAATCTCAAAAGCTTAGAAGACCGGATGGGAGTGCTTTCCGCTCGTCGGTGACTCTCGACCGATTGAGGAAAACCAAATGGTACGGATTAGAAGCTTGAGATGAATAACCAATGTGGGCCAACCGTCATTTGGGTCCTCGGATATGGTGCAGTTTTATTCTGGAAAGCATCGAACAAGGTTTATTCCTGCCTCTTTCCGTCTCGAGACACATTTAGTCTTCGAGAAATACACTCATTTGCAAACCAGTTTGGTTTTCACGAGAGACTTAACTAAATGTGCTGCACACAGGCAGCCTCATGTTTCAGCTGGCACGATATTCGAGAAATCGCAATATATTTTCATAAAGGAAGCTACTCACAAGGTTGCTGAAATCTGTTTGACAGCCCATGACCGGTTTCGCCCTTCTTGGAGCTCATCAGGTAAGCGCAGTCCCCCCGTCAACCTTATGTTCTACTCGAACTCAAAGTGGACTGTCTTCGAGAAATACGCTCATTTGCAAATCAATTAGGTTTTCACGGGAGACGCAATTGAACCTCTCGTTTATGATGTGACTAGTCCTCCTTCTGATAGTCACACACCAACAAGTGTTACGTCGACTGATCCAAGACCATTCTCCACACGCTTGTCAGCACCACGCCTTCTATTCTGTTAATACTGGAATGCTTGGCGATTTCTACCGCATCGGCTATCAGTCTTTGTGACATGGACCGTAGTTTTCAGCAACCTTGTGAGTAGTTTCTTTTATGAAAATACACTGCGATATCTGGAATATCGTGCCAACTGAATCATGAGGCGGCCAGGGTGCAGCACATTCAGTCGTAGAATATCGTATACGACAGATTCAGTTGAGTCTCTTATGAAAACCAAATCGATTTGCAAATGAGTGCAGTTCTCGAAAATAGTCCAATTTCGGTTCATATAGAACATAAGATTGATAGAAACTCGCGAACTGCGCCTACCTGATCAGCCCCAAGAATGACGGAACCGGTCGCCGGCTGTCGAAGAATTTTCAGTAACCTTGTGAGTAGTTTCTTTTATGAAAACATTTAATCTTCCTTGTGACTTGTCTACGTAGGGCAATTCAACCCTTTCAGACTTACGGCAAACCATCCAGCAGTCTCGCCCGATTTGGTGCATCAACCGTCAATATACTGTCATCTAACAGCAAAAACTATCCCACCGTACAAACGTCAGACATGAATCTCGCACACGGCCCTCTCAAAACTTGGGGATGTCAGCAACCGTGTACAAAAATATCGAAACGGTCAATTGGCTTTTTCCGCCTTGGAATGAGGCTAACCTTAATGAAGCCGTGAGTGCGTAGCCCATAATTTACCGTTCGTTTAGCAACTGTCGCGTTTGTCAATTAATCTGATCGAGAACCATAATGGTATGTGCTCGTGAACCCATATCAACGGATGACAACACCTCTCAGTGTCCTATAGAGGGAAATGTCGGTAGCTCAGGTAGCGTAGATGGTCGTTGGCTTGTTCGCTGAGCAATCGAATTGCCCAGCTCGGCGAACAAGCCAACGACCACCACTCGGTGTCATTTGAACTCCATGGACAGTCCCGTCAATTCGTTCGTTCTGATGGTCTTCCAGAGTGAATTTCCAAATTGCAAATCGGTTCACCCCTACGAGGCTTCGATCACACTGTGGTACGCAATGCACCCTAGGACATATACCGTGTCACTAAAGTGAGTCACCAAGACCAAGACAAAAATAAGAGTCAAATGACATTCGATTGATGCCAAGAATTTGCAAACTAATGAGAAGGTTAACGATCATTGATAGATTGTTACTCGGCCACATTAGTCTTTCAAATTCCATGCGTTTCCTTAGTGACGGTAGGTTAACCTAGCACTTTTCACTTGCACTCCAAAGTATTTCGATTAATTTGCAAATGTATTAATGCCCTGCTCTATTCCCAATAGTAAGCGCTCTGGAACGACGCTTAATTGTCTTGACAGAGTCAAATTGACTTCAATCAACCAAGTGGTGTCCCGAGGTCGATTTGGACATCCCATTGAAATCAGTGTACGATCCCCTGTTCGATTTCCAAGCTTTGTGTCTAATATGCTGGTGTCAGATTTATCGTGGCTGCGGTAGACGAACCTGAGTCGGAACTGAAGGGTGGCAGAAACTTTCGCATCCTATCTGTTGGCATCTTCATTGGATGTGACTGCGTTCGAATGCACATGCCGAATCGGTTCGGCAAAATTTCCGCGTATCTTTTCAGAGAGGCTTGGTAAACAATCGGTGGGTTTATTGCTGAGCAGCGTTTCGCTTTTGACACTAAGCTTTGCCGGGCCGAGTAAGTAGGCAACCAGGTTGATTGGGTTTCAGGACAGTCAGGGAACTAATCCGTGAAATTTCTTATGACTAGCCGATTTGAACAGTGCTGTTTCACAGCCGTAATCAAGTCACTTTTGGGGTCACAAACGTTTACACCTCATTTTACATTCGCTGTACTAGTGTGGCCCACGGGATCCCAGTCGAGTGGGATGAAAAAAAGAGAAGTTATTAGTGCACAGTGATGATAGCCATAATACAACTCAGACGGTGTATGCATTAATAAAAGTTTTTAGTATGGTTGCGACACGCATAAAAATAAATACAGTGCGAAATGGGAGCGAGTCAAAAAGGGAACTTATCATATGTGAGAGTACCTTGGTAAAAGTCTGGACGGCGGGAACGTGTTTCCTCCGCAGTTTGGCTGCTACACGTATTCCATAATTGTCCGTGGACTTGGAGTGTGTTGGCTGACTCCTTGCTCCCTGCGCGTGCGCGAGTCTGTGTGTGCTGACTGCGTTCGGTTTCCCTATATATAGGTCAGTTTGCGCGTACTTGGGCGCGTCAGCACGTGAGTGGTTGGTACGCTCACTAGACGGTGCAGCCAATCGATGTCCGATGAGTCAGCTTAATGTGACGTGGTTGTGGGCATGAAAAAGAGACAAGTCTCGTGATCCAGTGAGCGACTGCAGGCTGAACAGTCAAGTGTGTGGGTGACTGGGTCGCTACAAAGTTAGCCGGTCCAACATCTTCACGAAATGGGACAGAAGCCAGCTGTGAATGATACTAAACACGGAATGCCACATTGCCTAGTGCGAATAGCCATCCTCTTGTCTACTTCCAGAAATGAGCGGCAATACAGAGCGTCCCAATGTCCGGATGTATGCATCCGTATAATGGGTAGAAACAGCGCAGATTCGTTCAGTTCGTAACAGGAGAAAGCTTCCAATTCGATTGCGAACGCATCAGATTTAGGGAAACAGCACTCGATATCGTTTTGGCATAGAGAACATTGGATAAGGAAAAATGCAGTGCGCCCAACCTTGTCTACGCTCCGTGGATGTCCACTATTCAGGCACAATAATTGCGAAGGACTGCTGCGGGCTAATGGCTTGTGTCAGATGGCTTGGGTTTAAACCCCGGCGCCGTCAGAGTTATGTGCAGCTGATGAAATTTAATAAGGCTAATACTCAAGTTCATTAGACTAATCTGAACGTGTGCGCTTGAACAGGATGGGGGCTGAGGAGAGTGATGTTGGTGAATTCAACGCCACATCTCTAATTAGATGGAACGTAAGATAACCCTACCAAATACGAGTGATAATTGGGGCTATCGTTGAGCAATTGCCGAGCCTGTGGAGTCCGTCGATAGAATGAAGCAAAAATGTGTTTTGGCTGAGAGTTCCAGCCAAACTGCATCGGAGTGCTGATTGGTCGCCAGCTATCGTCCAATCAGAAGTTGAGTATCCACACAATAGATGGCTGTTAACTAGCTTCAGAAAAGTGACCTTGGTAGGCATGGTTTGCCGATGAATTAGGGCTGCGAATAAAATCAAAACACAGTAGAATGAAAGGATAGCGTCCACCGTCTATGCTGGGTAGAAAGCAGACAGCAATTCCTATAGCTACACGCATGTGGTCACGCGTGATAACTCATATCATAATGCAGCAAACCAACCTATCATGTCTACTAATTCATCAGTTGGTTATCGATCGCTTTGCTTTAACCTATTCACCCCTTAAGTTTGTGTTTCATTTGGACAGTCAATAGGCAATAATGTGGCGGCTACAGACCGCAACGGGGGCACACAGAGATTTTTGAACTTATTGCGTCGGCCAAATCGAAACTTAGGGTACCCACTAACAATGGGTTGCGTTCTTTGCAAAAATGAGCCCAACCGATTGACAACAGAACTTCGGTAATCCCAACCGGTGGCTCAGTAGTGAACTCGATGTTTCCTCTGAATATGGCTGGTCCACAGTGCGCTAGCTAAACCGTGATTCGTCACTAGTTCCAGTACCCTTGATTTGACAAAACAACACGTGTGCGTCATTTTGATACGGGGATCGGTACCCAACTGGAGGGTGTCCATACAGAGTCATCGAAACCGCCAACCACTGGTCTACCCAGGTCTTGAACAGCTATTATCAGTGAGAAACGCTGCCACTAGAAAGAGTAACATGTAACGTACCACAGGAAACCGTACTCACCACCAACCAATCAGAGTTAAATGTGTCGGAACGGCCAATCAATCATCTGTCACGTGACAGCCACTTACAAGCGTCACCAAAATAGGCTGATACAACCATTCACAGGTGTGGGACGTTGACACCAGTCAGTCGACAATGCCTCAAATACGCGGTATGTTGCGATTAGCTGGGGTGAGCTATTGATCGACCCAACCAATTCCAGAATGCGGAAACTTGTGTTCGGTATATGTGTACAGTCTGATTCAACTTGCTGTTGCATGTGCATCGGTGCCATCTGAGCTCAACAGAAAAGCATATCCCGAAATTGACAGTTTGGACTATGATAGCATTCTTTAAATTAGAGACCTGCTTAACACTAAAACGATGAGAAGCACGGCGAAAATGAGTTTCATCCATTGATTTTCGAGAGCGTGCGAGCATAACTGCTCTGCAAAAGCCATTCACAGGTCAACTCCTGGCTCGACGGGACTGTTGTATCGTGAGTGGCCGTCTATTGGTTACGCTTGCACTGAACCTGCCCGACTCAGGAGATAAGGAGAAGACTGAGAATCCGGGGCACGGCTGTATTGTCAGGACAAAACATACAGAGCTTCTGTATAAATATATAGGATGACTAAATGGTCAAATATGGTCGTTCACTTGTTCGTTCTGTGCAGCCAATGGCGGTATCCCGGTCGTGAACACTTTCAGGCCCACTCTACTGGTCTTAGGTTGCTAAGTCGTGTTTGGTGAGCTCTGCCAAAGCAACTGCTTTCCGAATGTGTCGTACCGATGGTGACCTTGGGGATGCGTCACTCTCTGCACATATGCTTTTTTCCATGTCTTTCGGAGGCTTGTATGCTCTTTGTGGTTATATTCCCTCTCTGAGAGACGTGCCAATGGTTCGATAGCGTCCACCGTCTATGCTGGGTAGAAAGCAGACAGCAATTCCTATAGCTACACGCATGTGGTCACGCGTGATAACTCATATCATAATGCAGCAAACCAACCTATCATGTCTACTAATTCATCAGTTGGTTATCGATCGCTTTGCTTTAACCTATTCACCCCTTAAGTTTGTGTTTCATTTGGACAGTCAATAGGCAATAATGTGGCGGCTACAGACCGCAACGGGGGCACACAGAGATTTTTGAACTTATTGCGTCGGCCAAATCGAAACTTAGGGTACCCACTAACAATGGGTTGCGTTCTTTGCAAAAAT